CCGTCCTTCGCTACAAAGGGGACGTAGCCAAGACAAATGAAACTGTTCACTTCATGTGAAAGCAAGATTGTATGATCTTCCCGGAGTTGTTCCTCATATTGTTTAAAATGTACGCATGGTCCCACCTTAAAGTTTACAGTGGTGTTCAAACCTCTCTTGTGAAAAAGACATAAATCTCTCAGACCAAGTACAGAGACTGGCCATCTAGTGGTTGATAGGTCTAGAACATGAATCGTACGAAAACAGACTATAGCATCTGAGATTATTCTCGTTGAGCTACAGGAGAATAAGAGGTGGCACACAACATATTAACTACTTCAAGCCACGAGCATATTACCGGAACATTATCACTACGCTCCTCAAGGTGACGCTCGAACGATTTTGAGTCAACAAGCGAACACACAGGTACGCTCTCATTTTTATCATTAAGAGTTTCTCTCATTTTGAATGCGCTTTCAGTCAAAGCGATCACAGACCCATCAGTTGATACCTTTAGAGAAGTGACAAACACATACTCACCATGAGTTGCCATCTCCTCCTCCCATTAGCTATGTTTGATGTATATCCCATAAATTAGCTCGGTAATCATTACCACATATCAGTAACAACTTCCTATCTCGCTTATTATCATCTTTTCCCATCTTATTCTTTTAATTCTGCCCTCTTAAATAATTATCAGATAAATAAACGTATGAACAAAATTTACTTTACCGAAATTCCTGCCTCGATGTTCTTTGCTTGACTTTTGTGTCATAGCAAAACTGTTTATTATAAGTATAAAGCTGTTATTTTAGTGGATCACTTTATTGTTGTTAATCGCGATGAACAATAGTTTCCTTGATGAATAGGAGGAAGAATCATATACGGTTACGATATTGAATAGTAAGAAAAGACTCTGTTGCTGTGTAGCAAATCAGTAATTTGAATGTATTATTTATTTTGGTAACTAGATTGGGAACCACTATATTCATCAACACACCGGGAAAACCACTGAATTATCTTGTAATTATGGAAAAGTCTTCACTGTATATCGGTTTGTGTAAATGCAGCACAAACTACCGGTTTGTCTATCCTGGTGTGCTAATCAGTTTCTATTATTCAGATTGCAGTCTGGCAACTTGTTCAAATAAATCGACATTCTTTGTGCTTTTTTTTGATGTAAGGTCACTGAAGACAACCAGGAGAGAGGTTTAGTTCTGAGATTCATCCCATAATTTCATTAGTAGACAGGGCGGGTCAGTGTTTAACTACGAGATTGATTTGAACAGCACATGAATTAAAGGTAACCCCATGATTGGGGATATAATTCACCGAAAAATGCCAATTGGCACAAAATCTATCTCCAAGACGTCCTGTAAAATGCTTTAAACCATACAGAATCTTATAAGGTAGCTTTACTATTTTCTTTTGATGTGGAAAATATTTCACTTCAGCATAGATGAAGTGTAGTTTAGCACAAAATGAGAAAACAAATATGAAAATATTGGGAGGCAATCAAGAAGAATTAATCAATCATTTGAACCTTGTTTCACCTATCCATAAATAACACTAGTAGTAACAGAGTATTTATATAAGTTATACTGTGTTATAATAGTGATAAATTTCCGTTTCCTAATCACAATAGCTTTAATTTTCATTAAGCAGAGTGAAATTGTAGAACTCACTTTACGCAAAAGGCTAATATGAAAAACTTTATTGTTTGGAAATATAAACAAAGTTTATGTACAATAGACACTGAGTATGTGTATGGAAACAGTTAACAATTTATTGACATATTAGAGGTAATGCGAAGAAAAGTGTTGATGAGAAATGGTCCCTGTCCTATTTTATATTACAACCAGGGCCATATGAAGAAGAGAAAACAAGTAGTTGCTTTCATTATGTTTAAAGATTATCATTACCGTGTTCATATTGTAAACAAATGTCAGTTATTTGTCACTAAAAGATACATATAATCATATTTTTCACGAGCAACAGGGATATTATAATGTATGACTGAATTTAACATGAAAGTGGTAGGAAACAGCTTAAAATAGGTGACTGAAGATGAAAATTGAAATTTTTGAATTGCACAAGATCAGATATTCCCTCCACTGATGATATTTTGAAGTGAGCGTGAATATCGTTTCCATTCGTATTTTGTAAGCCATTCATCTTGTCAACATAGATTATGTTCAATTCTCAGTACCACTAGTACTCTGTACAGACATAGTGTTGAAATGTTTCGTTTCTGTAGAATCTTCACAAATTGCAATGAGTCTCTCTGGAACATTATTGGTAGCCATTAGTTCTTTTTTAGATTTACTTTCATCATCTACTTCATGGCCATTTAAATTCACTTTCTCATCAAATTTAGACCAACGTGATTCAAAATAAGCTCGCATAGCATGTCCAGCACGTCCAACCTCTGAATCATCTTCATTAAAGAATTCACAATTAGAAAAAATAAGACGAACATCATGAACCCAATTACTGAAGGTATTATATGCACTAAAATAAAATAAAAAAAGTGGATAAATAGATTACGTAGTCCAAGATTCCTGATAAATAAAAGAACAGTAACACATATAATGAATTTAAGCATAAGTAAATATTTCTCTGAAATATGTAACCTAAAATGCACTTTCTAGGATATACATTCGGTGAAAAAAATGGTGAGAATGAGGAGTAAGAAAAGAGCTATTTCATGGTAGTTTCGAATCTGATAGAAAAGTACTATTGTTAGTAGTAAAATATATTCCCAAACGTCATAGAAACGATAATGTAGTTAGACCATCACCACCACCACCAACAACAACAACAACAAAGATTCCAATAAGCATTTTCAAGAGGCGTGTTTTGTTCGGTAAATCGTAACTATTAAGCCTCATTATCATTTGGAATTCGTTTTTCTAATTAGCATTTAAATACTTTAAAAGTAAAATACAGAGAATTGTTGAATAAATGAAGACATTTACGTGTATATACTTGAAACTATGTAACAAATTACTTCATTGGAAAATATACTTATTCTTTGTAAAATTATATATATATATATATATATATATATATATATATATATATATATATATATATAAAGACTGTTTGCATTGATTTCAAATACTTTACTCCATTGTCATTGAAAGTTACAGAACAATGCAATGTTTGTTGCTACATATTAATGGATAGTAACTCTTTTCAATAATGTACCTGTTGTATTTAAAAGAATTGGACCTATGGTAATTCCTAATTACGAATTGTTTGGATTGTTCTAATACAAACATGATGTAATAAAACAACTGTTCGACAATAATCCTCAACGCAATACAATGTAAGACATAGTCAAACTGCTGGAGAAACTTTCTTATCATGAAAAGAAGTCAAATTTATATTTGAACAATCAGTATATATAGCAATCAACGCTGACCTTAGAACACAACAAAACTAGCGACCCATAAGTAAGAATAACCAGTCAAATAATAGCAAAGATTAGAGACGAATTATGAATTAGAAATAGGTTGGTTGGACAATCCTTTCACAAGAGAACAAACATTTAGCTAACCTGACTTTCCCTTACCAATATGATCTCTATTTTTTTTACTTTTCATATAAACAATAATGAGAAGAAAAAAGATTTACCCATAAAGTTAGAGTATTGTGTTACATGTAAGAGTTTGTAGAAATGAAGAAAAAATAAAATAGGCTGATAGATAAACGAGTAAATTGCACAAGTTAAAAATATCTGATATCACTTATTTGTTATTCTTAACAATCGTTGATCATTTAACTTTGATTCTCTTATCAACAGTAGGAGAACTTTGATTCACTCGAAAAATTTCTCTTGGATCGATGGAGAAACATTTCATGTCTCTTCTAATATGTCGTCTAGCCTCATGTTGAAAACAAACTTATACTTATTTCGGTTGTAGGCTAAACCTTTCTCCTTTATATTTTCATAGATCAAATTTATTTGATTCCGTTATTATTATTACTATTATTATTTATTTATTTATTTATTTTTTATACATAAGACGTAATGGTTTAAAACTAATCCCAGTTTACTTTGTGTTTCCGTAAATTACACTACCTCATTATTAATTACGTCAGCGATTCTCACATCTTACGTCACCTATTTTTATTCTGTCTAATTATCATACAGTTTTGAGTGATCTATAACCTTATTCAAATATATATTACATACTAGTCATTTTATAATATATTTACAAAAGGCTCAAAAGATTGTTTTATTAGAAATCCTAGGTTCGTATAAATTTTTAGTGGGCTTTCAAATGCCCTGGTACGGTCGAGAGTAGGAAGAGTCAGCTCTCCCTCCCGAAATGTTTTCACATGGTCACGTGCATGCAACCATCGACAGGGAAGTCTTATTCACTACCTTCTCGCGGTGGGGGTTTTGTTCACGAAATCGATAAGACAAAAGGCTAATGTCCGGTGCTTTAACCGTGTTGGTGGATATGGAGGGTCTACCTAGGGGAGTCGGAAAACCCTGACTTCAAACCGATGGTTCACATAGGCTCCAGGATCCCAAGGAAATAAATAGTCTATGAACCAACTGTTGTTCACCGACTACCATGGGACTGCATCTTCTTACGTTGCTCCACTACCTTGTGGATTAGACCTTTAGGTTGAAGGCTCCGAATGTGATCCTCTAAGAAAACCACCTGTTTTGGTTTCGGCACAGGTTAGTATCCTAGCCCTCACACAAATCGAATGATTTATGTGGCGCATATCTATTTGGTGCTCCTTTGTACCGATGTTTATATGTTTAAATACATAAATAAAGACATCTTTGACCTATTCATTCTGATTATTAGTTAGAATTAATAACTGAAGAATCTTATGAAAATTTATTGAAAAGCATAATCTTGGTTTAAATGTATGTTTTAATTGATAAAAGATGTTAATCTTAAAAGTTCACCAATCAAAGATGCATAAAATAATATTCCCGTTAGATGTATAATGTTCAATGTAGGAAAAAGATCTAAAATCATTCAATAAAGGTATACTTTAAGTAGATTAATAGTAATCTAAAGAAAGGAGTAAACTTTTATACTAAAGAAGTTAACAAAAATCTTTTCATCAATAGGTTATTGGTTAAAGGTTTTGTCTTAAAATACTGAATGTTCAAAGTAAGTAGATGAATTTAGTTTTAAAATTTAATATTGCCAGTTGTTCAAATTTTCAAAACAGAATTTATTTCAATTTCAACTTGATAAAATTCCTGTGTAATCGTTATTCAAAATGATGAACTCGAATCTAGTACTGGGGTGAAAATCAACTCTGAGATGTAGGTAAGTTGAAATAAGACGAAACGTGAGTTCTGGATGCGGTTACTAACCATATTCAATCTATTCTACATAAATTTGCGTAATAATGGCCATATTGATATAATTCACACATCCCAACCGAGACTGATCAAAATATCAATCGATTGATGATCTCAATCAAAAACAATCAACACACATTGAATATTTTCTGTCTAGTTTAATTCAATAATCTTAAGGATCAAATAATTGTTCATTTAAAGATTCACTCGATGAGAAAACAAACATTAATGCATATAGACTTAGTTGATCTGTTTAACTTCAGGTTCTGTCATCATTCACAATTAAATATTACTAAATAGTAACAAAACATTTAAAAAAAAAGCAAAAAAATTATCTACTTTGAATCAACAATGAGAATTTTCGAATCACTTTCATGTAGGATCGTTGACGTATAAATGAGGTGATATTTAATGGTACCCTTATTGTTGATTACAGAATTTATTGTTAATAGATAGACTTAAATGTATTATAAAAATACAATGACTTAGGATTTAACTCTTTTCAAATGGTATGTCAAGAAAAACTATATACATATATATGCTTACGCAGGATCTTGTACTTTTCTCCATATTGTAGATAAATCCATTGGGTGCTTAATTATTTTTCGATAGATAGGTACTTGTTTTAGATTAACTGGTTTACGAAATGCCCAAGAAGCTTCATGATTTAGTAAATCTTCTGTAGCTCGTCTGGTTAATTTATAAGAAAAAACGACAGACAAAACAATTACAACTTACATAGATGGTTTATTAACTATTTATAAGTAGAATAAACTGATGCTTTTAATTCAAAAAATGGTAGTTTCCTGAAGAACTATTTTTACATCAGAAAACATTACGTTAGAAGAATTCAAAAGCACAATAATCACTAATAGTTATAAATGACTTATTTCAGTATGCTTTACATCAGATTTTGGTGTAAAGCTATGACTTATAAAGTTAACCAAGTTAATGATCACCTATAGTATTTGATGACTGCTTAAGTCAACTTCGAAATGAAGGACTGGGAAAAGTACATTTTTGAACCTATAAAAGTATATAATGCACTAGTATTTGTATGAAATAAATTGATGTCATTATGCTTTCTACAGGATTTGGAAAAGAGTTGTTCATATGCTCAGTATTTAATTTTGCCTAGTAGACTATAGTTGGATGACTACTATTGTATCCTGACAGTTTCATCATTTTCAGCTACTGTATTCTAGGTAAGATATATTGATTAAAAATTAGACATTTCATAACCAACGAAAAAAGAAGCTTAGAATACTAAATACTTTAAAAGATGTCAACAATATCAGAAAGCTAATTTTTTACTTTACAGAACTTACCGACACCATTCAAGCTCATTGGATTTCATTGGCTGATAAGTTTGACACAAAGGCTGTATAGATTCTGTTGAATCAATGGTAGAAGATTTATCATCACTGCCATTCGTTATTTCCTGATGTAACGTGCGACAACGACGACGAGGACGACCTCGGGATCCAGATATATTTTTAGATACCAGCAATATAGATCGACGATGATAATGACGTTTGGGTTTTGTAGGCAGTGTATTTAAATGGTAAGTTGGTTTTCTACCAGGCTTTTTAGGCAACGGAAATTCATTAAATTCTTGGGAGGCACTAGGTTTTCGTCTCTTATTCTCTAAGTCAGTATGAGATCTAGGCTTATATTTTCTTATCTTGGATTTGGTAATTGGAATAGTTCCGCTATCAATATTCTCTGTACGTTTTCGATATTTATGAACTTTCCTCCACCAACCTTGATATTTTCTATTTGGATTTGTAAATTTACTGTCAACTATACTTAATGCATCATAGGAGTTCATACTTGGATGTTCTAATTTCAAGGTGGAACACATTTTACTCCTTTTTAACTAAAATGAATTTAAACAAATAGTTAATAAACTTTCTGAAAAGGAATTACGTCGATACATTTTAAAATACTTTTACACAGTATGATCATTTCATAGTGTTGACATCTACATAATACTAAGAACCGTCAAGATTAAAACAGGCGATATTTGGTAGTTTCCTACTAGAGAGTTACTAAAAATGAATGGCTAACTGGTTACTTTTATTAAGTTGAATTGTATATACATAAATATACATAACGAGAAAATTTTGTGATTCGGTGATTTTGTATCTTTTATCATTCAATTTCTACTTAAATTCAACAGTTGATTCAGTGTAAAGTTAACATTTAGAATGTTGTAATAATTCATTATATAAAGGTGACAAGTGTTATCTTGTCTCGTCCTTAGTTCGAATTTACTTCTGTAGACCAAATTACACTGTAAATGTCAATCTGAATAAGTGTAATTTGTGTTTCACTATGTTTTATATAAAGCGATGAAAGACAATCATTAGGGAAATACTGGACCAATGTTTAGTGCCAAATGTCTGTTTGTAATCTCAAAAAAAAAAAGTTATTACTATCTATGAGATTCAGACACGTATTATGTAATGTTGGATTTTAGATAATATATACCTTGGTAAGTAGTGTTAAATAAAATGAAATCTAGGTGCAGAACTTTTGCATCCACTGCCATTAAATAAAACATATAGGCTTACATTTCACCCATTTCTATACATAATAATAAAACAATAAAATAAACACAGAAAATTGGAAATTACTATAAATATGTTCTATAGATTATGGCATGTATACTTATACGGTTAATTATTTATATTGGTAAACAAACTTTGGAAAAGAACAGTTAAATAATGATAACATGTTCTTTCCTCATGTTTTACAAAATATTTCATATGATCTAGTTTCCACAACTCCATACTGATAATTACCATGTGCTCACTAATGACTAGCTTCGAGAAGTAATTTTCGAAGTTCTAGTGTAAGGCTCTGACCAGTGGAGTGAATCCATATCAGGTAGAGACAGGTATCTACGTCAGACAGTGGGAGATGGTCGCACAATTTCGTTGATTATTTAAAGTTAAACATTAACACCGTTAGATACTGACCGGTTCAGTGATCTAAAAGTTAAGTGTTCGCTAGCAAAACCGAAGGTTCTTGGTTCGTATCCCATGTAGAGGATCGTTGTTATGCACTACTGAGGAGTCCCATACTAGAACAAAACAGCTATTCAGTACTTCTAGATTTTCAATAATGATCTAACATCAATCACTTTATGATCTCAATACAAAAAAAAAAAACTATCTAATGTTCTTAGCATTAATAAGAACAACTGAAATATCAAATATTATTGTACTTTATAATTATTCTGTAAAATCTTAAATCTAGTCATTTTAAATTGAACTATGATGTATGTATACATGAATTATTAAACTATTCATCATATGTAATTCTTTATTAGAGATTACATATTGTTGTCATTTTTATTTATGATTCCCTGTTTTTCTAGTAATTGATTGTAATGGAATTCATTTCCTACTATTCTTCTTCGTCTTTTATTTATAAAGGATAAAGGGAAGGATCATTGATATTGAAAGATAGATAATAGTAACACATTATTATTATTATTACTATTATTATTATTGTATAAGATCGTATATTAAATATGATATAGAGAAAGATTTGGAATAACTGTCTGTCTGTTTATTCGTCTGTCAGTCTATCTTTTTTTTCTAATATAAATTTGATCATTCTTTGTTAAAATATATATTTGATTATTTTTAATAAACTTGGCAAATTTCTAATTGGTAACTAAGTAGGACCATTGTTTCGTTGTTGTTGTTGTTGTTGTAGGTTAATTATAGGCTTACTTTTTTTTTCTTTTACCAAAATTATTATACCTACCTAATATGAATTGATTTTTTTTCTGTTAAAACTTTACTTAGTGTGTTTATATTTTTCTTTTAAAATTAAGACGTTAAATGGGATTAGATTGAAAAATGAATTTATGAAATGAAGAAAAAGAAAAAAAGAAAAGAAATTAGTTTTAAATGATACTTTGTCGATAAGTAAAGATCATCTAAAATGTACATGTGTGTAGTAACTAGAGTAATTAAGGTTGCTTAGGTCAAGTTGTTTTTTAGTTTTGTGCCAAACTGTTTCGATATATACTTTACGATAGTATTCTATTAATAATAATAATAATAATAATAATAATAACGTAGAATACTCATGCATGAAAGTATACGTGAGATAATTAGAAATTATCTGAAGAAAATAATGCCAAATGAACATGAGTCAATTGAAGCTAGACAACCATGGAAAATTTGGAAGCATTGGATGGCCGTTTCATTCTATTGTGAGACTCTTCAGAAGTGCATATCTACGATTCCGCTTTGCGAGATTCAAATTCAGATCCTAACAGTCTTGAGAGCTAACAATTAACCTATTCAAAATCTCCTTAGGAATATATTCTGTAGATTTTAACTTTCATAACTTATTCAAAATTTCAATATTTGAATGATATATTAGTTTACTAACTGGAAATAAGTAATCAAAGATTTTAGATGAAATTAAAAATTAATAGTTGACAACAACATCGAATAGTTTCTATACATTATCAATAGAGAATATTTTCTAGTATGAAAAAGTTTGTACTTATAGTGTTCAGTTTTGTGATCAACTAATATTTGTGAATGGAACTTTTCATGTATATGCTTCAGTAGGTCAAAACTCACATCTTGGTTAATCAAATCAGATTTAGATTCAATATTATAAATTTTAACAAGAAGAATTATTTTTGATTACACTATTGAAGAACTATAAATAATAAAGCAACATTGTTGATACTGATGAACTGCTTAGGTGAATTCTAAGTTTATAACCAATTAATGAACATCTGTATATTCATAAAATCATTTTGATATTTGTATATGCGATCAACCTGAATTATTGTCTGTATTTATGTTAACCTTTTAGATAAAAATCGGTTGCCAAATAAACTCTAAACTTAAGTAGCTTTCTAGAACAGCTGAGCCCATCTCCTTCATAACCGGAGTATAACAGAAGCTCCGCTGAAGCTTGTCGTTGTTGTCCAGCCTGTGTCCAATGTGTTTCACTGATTCCAAGCACCTCCAGGTTGTATCTTTTCATTTATGAAGCAATTTGGAAGACTCTCTTAGTCTCCCACATTGTACGAGCATTTCATGTACCTAAATTAATGGCTGCTCTGGTTGTCAGAAGGGGCATCAGCCTCGTGATTTCCGACAGAACTCGGCTTTCACCATGAGGCGTCATAACTTTTTTAAATGGAAACCTTATAACTCCCAGGTCGGAGTTTGAATGGTTTGAATAATTTTTTCTGGTTAGTGTTTTTTTGGCGAGTTAGTTTTCTATGGGATTCAGTGTTTTATGATCAGTTGTCTAAGTTATTCATTTGACATTATGCTTATAGAATAAGAACAAATCGACTCATGGTTACTGAATAGTTATACATACCATCTGATTATCATCTACATCAGTATCTTCATATACTTTGCGTTTTCTTCGGGATTTCTGTAGAGATAAATTAGAATTTTCATCTCTTGTTTTTATATATTTTAAAAATATACAATTTGAACAATACCATTGTTTTGGTATGCGTACAAATGCTGGTCGAGCACAACTATTATGCACAGCTCGTGAACAATGATAACAAATTGCTAATCGTTTAATTTCTGAAATTGATGAATTACTATCAGTTTGTTGTTGAAGATCATCAATTTCAGATCCACCACATATATAACATAAGTGTTTTGAAGTTGCTTTTGACACACAATCATAACAAAACCAATCTCCAGATGGTATATTAGATAATTGTGGACGAAAACAATAAGTATGATAACCACGATCACATCCATCACATAATAATAGACAAGCTTCATTGTTATCACGTCTGCATATCTGACAGAGCTGAGAGAAAAAAATAATAATAACCATTCTTTAACTCCTTGGAAATATCAACAAAGTTTAGTGAGGTCAAAAATTGTCCCCTAAAATCTTGCTAAGTTGATTGGTTTACATTATTTCCATTACTTACTATAAAGGTTAATTGTCTTTATTAATATAGCGTTAGTAAAATTTCTTTTTAATATACCATGAAATCTATTCAGCGATAAGCGAAATGCATCTCGATTATATTGGTGGGATCTATCTAATAGAGATGAAAATTCCACTCAAAATATGAAACTTCATAACAGAAGATCTCATTCTTTGATCATAGTTTACATGTATTAGATGATGAAGGAATGTTAAAAAAATCGATATGGTTCGAATATTATAAGACTGAGAGGATTACTACATAATAATAAAAACACATCTATATTGATAATACAAGAACCGACTAAAATGATGACTGATCGCTCAAGAATCCTGCATATCTCACTGTGACATAGAGTATGAAGAGATAGAAGCTAGCCTGGGACTACGCATAGTTAATATTTAGATAAAATATAACCCTTTTTATATATTTCTAAATAACAACATAACAGTGAGAAAGATGATCGAATGGATTATCTTGATTAATTCAACAGCATAACAGATTATCCAATATAAACTTATTCCAACCACGTAGCAGCATGCTACTGCAGCATGCAGTACATATTCTATCATGAAAAATTATCCATTCACTACATGAACTGAAAGATAAACAAGAATCGATTAAATTTTGAAATATAAACTAATGGATCCTAATTCAAAGGTTTGAAAATTAAGCGTTCACAACGAGGCTTGAATTTCTTGGGTTTAATCCCTAGTAAGATAGTCGATGCATACCATTGAAGGATCTCATACTAGTAAGGAACAACTATTCAATACCCTCTAGTTTTTCAATGGTTATTTAGCTACATTCAGTACTTAATGTAAAGTACAATATTATCAACACTAGTAAGCTGAGAAATTCAGTATAAACGAATTATAATTTAATGTTTAATATATAAATGATATTTTTGCATTGTATATACATCTATAAACATTTAACTTACTACTTTCATTATTGACTTATCCCATGCAATTGCTAGAACTAATTGATTCATGCAACTACGTATTGTGTTAATATCAGAAGCTTGATTTAGGTTGGTGCGCCAATCCATAAGATCCTTAGGAACATTGGTATTTGTTTGATCATGTATAGGACCATTTGATCCATCTGGATGGTTAGCATCAAGGTGAAAATCACACGCATTACTATTATCAACTGGATCGTTCGAGTTAGATTGTTTATTGGTTACCTGACGGATTTGTGGTATATGACTTTGTCTAGAGACGTTAATATCATCTTCAACTATTTCAGTGTTAAATTCACATCTATCATACTTTATGTCATTGCACTCTCCTTCAGTTTCTATCCCTGTATCTGTAGATTCTGTATTACTACGTACTTCTGGAAGAAATGGTACATCAGTAGTTTCAACTTCAGGAATAATATTTAAATGAATTTCAGAATTAAACGGTGGGAGTAGATAACGGCGTTCTATATGACGTTCAATATCTAATAAACGATTTCGTGCCAATTCCAGTGGCCAATGTTCAAACTGTGATTTCTTAACTTCGGTACGAGGAATGAGAGAAATTATTTCATCTTCAGATGTTTTATTTGGAATCTGAAAAAAAACATTATTCTTATTAACAATCACTGTTTTACAGTTGAACATAAAAATGTAAGGCACAATGTTAAACAGAGATTGAATCATTAAATTATCATGTCTATAATTCAAATATCAATAGTTAGTTGAACTATATCTATAGATGAACATTACGTAACAAAGAGAGAGAGAGAGATGTTATACTTCATAGCTTTGTATTATATATTGTAATAAAAACACTTGAAATCACTTTTCCAAGATCACTAGCCTGTAAACGATGAGAATTCATAAATTTTTGCATACGAACTTAATGCTATATGTACTTCGTAAATCATTTCAAACATATATATATATATATATATATATATATATATATATATATCATTTCAGTGTATTGAGGTTACGCAAATAGTTGAATTTACAGTTTTACATCACAACCTAATCTATAATTTATTGTCAAGTAGTAACAGATATGTAAATAAGTATATTTACTTTGTTGAACTCATTGTTTTATCGATTAAATACTGTTGAATAATGTACATATTTTTATGGTCATATAAAATTTCAGTTACCAAATTGAATAAGTTATTATAAGTTACCATTGTAAATCAATAAATTATTTGACGAATAAATTCAGATTGTAATAGAGTGTGAAAATGTCAATTAAATAAATTATATAAAAAAGTGATTAATTCAGCTACTATTATTTATAGTAATTTCAATAGTTGAAATTATGAGTCGATTGAAGCTAGACCAACATGGAAAACTTGGAAGCACTAGACTGCCATTTCATCCTATTGTGGGACTCCTCATCAGTATGTATCCACGATCCCGCCTCGTGAGGTTCGAAACCAGGACCTATCAGCTTCGCACGCGAACGCTTAAGCAGTAGACCGCTGCACCGGTCGGCATTAAACTAATCCATGAAATTGAGCGACACATCCACCATTGTATTTAGTGAGTTACTATCTCACCAGGCTGAATTCCACTGGTCAAAGATTCTTACTAGAACTCAAGGAAATACCTCCTGGAGACCGTCACTAGTGAGCATATTTTTGATTAATATTAGGTTAAGCGTCCGCGCACGAAACCGATAGGTCATGGGTTTGAATCTCGTGAGGCGGGATTGCAGATGCGCACTGTTGAGGAGTCTCACAATAGAATAGAACGGCCATCCTATGCTTCCAAGTTTTCAATGGTGGTCTAAGATCAATCGATTCATGATCTCAATCAAGAATAAGAAGAACTTATCCAAATCTGTTTCCTTAAAGTTCCATATTGTACTGAATATATAACACTGAATAAAGTCGTTATTACTATTACTTTTATCACTAATTGATCATGAAAGTTGAGAAAGATTAAAATGAATTTTAAAATTTACTGGAAAAACAGACGATTCCGTAATTTTAGTTTGCTAACTACACTTAAGATGAACATGACAAAATACAATATTATTTTTCTGTGTTTGTTTTTTTTTCATGTCATATATATCGAAAGATTTGTTCAGTTTAAATACAGTCCGTATAAAAAACTGATATGGATTGGAGAGGATTTTGAAGAAATAGGAGACTTCAGCGAGGATGCAGATCTAGGAATTAGGGATTTCCCGGGCGATATACACTATACTTATAGATCACTTAGTCTAGTGATTATCATTATATGACACTAAATAATTCGCAATATAATTCAAACATTATCACATAGCTTAGAGCATAGTTTACAACTCAAATAATTCGTATTTATGGGGTTTTTACAGACTATTGGAGCTCATATTTTGCACCACGGGTTGATGTCAAACAGACGACCATTTAAAAACTAAGAAATCCTGGACAGTAAGGACTTAACCTTCAGACCAGTGAGTTGGCATTCAGATGTTTTTATTTCTAACTATAATCAGTCCTCAATATCTCTCAGCCGTCATTCATTAACCATTGGAGAGTAACCTTATAAAACCAGGTGTGGTTAAATTCTACTAATCACAGCTTTTCATCAGAAATCTGAGAACTATCTCACGGAATTAATCGCAAGAGTGCATATGTTTATCATCAGCGTAGGATGTTTTTAAGAGTTTTCGAACTTCACAAATTATACCACGAAGTGACCTTAATCTCCTGTAGGTTAAGCATATGTCGCAGCATCTGATGGTCGCTGATACAATTCCTAGAGGGATTTCAGTTACTTATCAATGAGGAGTTTTACCTTAAGACAAAACAATCGTCCAGTGTTTCCTGATTTTCAATGGTCATTTAGTTACCGTCAGCCTGTAATGTAAGCTACAAATATTTGGAATTTTTATATTTCCTCAGTGTATTAAATCTAAATTTTACATAACTGTTCTACTTTTATCAGAAGGGCCTTTGTGGATGGTTGAGATCATAAGGCAATTGAAGCTAGACCAACATGGTAAACTTGAAAGCACTGGACGGTCGTTTCATCCTATTGTGGGACTTGTCATCAGTGTGCATCTACGATCTCGTCTCGCGGACCACTAACAATACAAATAAAATAATCTAAGTTTATTAACATTCTATTCATCTCACAATTCAATTTTGTCATCAAACTTGTTGAAATATGTTAAGAATTTTCTGAATGGTCTAGATCATCATATTCAGTAACTCAATGTTAAAGTAACAATCTTATGTTAACAACCGTCAGTATGATTTTAATTATCCTAAACTAAAACGAAATATTTGCTTATATAACTATACTGCATTATTCATTTTCTGATATGTCGAAGTATCATACATACATAGTTGGATAGTTAAATGGGATTAAGAATTAGGGAAATCCATGACCCAGCTAAATCAGTTAATTTTAAAAAATCTGATGTCAATTATACATTTCTCATTATAGGAATTAGAGTAATGAATGGGTAATTATAGTATTTCGCTTTCAATCTGTAGGTTGCAGGTCCAGATCTAGCTTCATGTACTAATGTTTAAGTAGCCGGGAATTATTAGCAGCCTCAGCCCACCTTAAATATAGTTCGCAGCAGAGTGTATGAAACTGAGCTTAATAAATGAGTTATAGTACATTATTATAAGGAAAGATTAAAAATAAAAACTTTGTTTATACCTTCCATTCTTTAGTTTGCAAACTGGCATATATTACTTTGTCCTCAAGAGCTTCCACATCATAAAGTAGTTGACATTCACTCATAAAATTTTCATATTCTGTTGAATTTTCCTCCCATTTCAACCCTTTATTATCGAAAATTTTGTATTTGGAGCTGATAATTTCAATTGGATTTACTGTAGACGTAAGTGGAAAGTTATGATAAACACGACACATGTCGACAAAAGTGCGTTTGGAACCGACTAAAGATGTGACTGTTAGTCCACTATTAGTATCACTAGAACCATCATCACTAGAGCACAGAATATCAGAACGAGAAATATTAGAAGTTGATGAATTCAGACGTTCTATCTCTTTACTTTCACTAGAATTATTTCCTTCCCAAGATGAAGATGATATAAAACCATTTGAAGTTTTTCCAGATAAACAGTTCCAACTACCACTTCCAGTGTAATAATATCCAGAACTCATTTTTGTTGTTCCATGGCCTCTACCACTACGTCTTCCTCTACGACGATGAGTACGAATTTGCATAAGCCGTGAGTTCAGTTTTGTAGTAGGTAAAGATTTAACAACATCATAGTCGGAATCTAAATGAAATAATTCAAATAATATGATTAGTTGCTGAGTAGTTTAACAGAGTATTTAAAATCATTTTCTTAAGAATTTATAATTGAAGAATCATTTATGGAATTAAACCTTCAATGAATCAATAAAACCATAAATGAGCGATTCATAATTTGTTACATACAGTCCATTTTCACAGTGAACTCTATTTACAAAACTCATGACTGAAATATTTGAACTATTAATAAATTCCGCCTGGAGCCCCACTTGGACTACTATCGGTACCAAGCCCGAATAAAGGAGGAGGATTGAGCATAGGGTTGATAACCCTATCCAGTAGAAATCTAACTCGGTGAAATAACGCTAACCAGTAAAAAATAATAAACATGTAGAATACTATTAAGATATTGTGTACAGACATAATCTATATAACAGTCAAGTAAGCAAACTCCCTGAAAACGGTAAACATATTTATGACTATAATATACATATAAAAATCATGTATTAATTCCATTACAGAATAGGATATAATTAAATAGAAGATGGATAGAAATATGCATAGATGGTGGATAAAAGCATAGTTCTTAACAAGAATATATGTAATTCAAAATCTTTAGTACATCCTTACAAAATGATACATAAATCCACAATTTAATGAAAATACACATCATTTTCAGTCATTTTTATGTTCTGTAAACTAGCTAGTTTAAATGTGAATCCCCTAATGTTTTATGACAAAAAATTATTGAACGCATTTAGTAGCCCATTATCTGACACAATTTAGATTGTATGAATAATTGTTATCAAAATATACATATTGTCAATACACGAATATAATTATCGACTTAAATTGCTTTAATGAATAACAGAATTAAATAATATCAAAAGGATTTTTGTGGAGATTTTAGAAATTTCACTGGTTGAAATTATGAGTCAATTGAAACTAGACCACCATGAAAAACCTGGAAGTACTGGATGGCCATTTCATCCTAGTATGGGACTTTTAAGTAGTGTGCATCCACAATTCCGCCCTCCCCCGCCAGATTCCAAACCAGGACCCATCAGTCTCGCGCGCGATCGCTTGACCATTAGGCCACTGAACTGGCCGGCATCCAACGGTGCTAATGTCTAACTTCAACCAATCCACGAAGTTGCGCCACCATACACCATTGTCTTCAGTGAGTTGATATCTCTCCAATCTCGCAAGGGGGGGCGGGATCGTAGATGCACAGTGCTGAGGAGCCCTATACTAGGACGAAATGACCGTCCAGTACTTCCAAGTTTTACATGTTGGTCTAGCTTCAATTGACTCATGGTTTCAACCAGAGAATTAAATAAGTCAAATACGAGAATAAATTTCCAATACGTGTATTTCGTACAATCATTGATCTAGACAAATGATAGAAGAAACAAAATCAAAAGAAGAGATCGAAGAAAAAGTATGTGAACCAATTCGGTTTAACCAAGTGTAAATCAATATTTACAGTCGAATCGAATTAAAGCAAGACAAAGCAAGACGAGGCAAATTAAATAATTAACAAGCTAGAATAACCTATATAGGCTTAATATACCATGTATACTCCTATAAATGAAACTACCTTATTAACTGGAACTTACTTCTTTTTAAAGCTACATGCATAGATAATTCTATAAAATCTTTAGAACGTCGAATACATTTTGCTAATTGTTTTTCACGTACTCCACGTATATTAAGTGTATCTAATAAATCTTTAAGTTTATTTATATCAATCAGTTGATACCAATTTGTTTGTTTATTATTATTATTATGATTATTATTGAATTTTAAATATGATAAATTTTCTTTAATTGTTTGAATTCGTCTATTTTCTAATTCATTATTAACACATTCTATTATATCATTATCAAATTGATCATGATTTATAGAATATTGATTGTTATTATTATTATTATTATTATTATTATTATTATTTTGTTCATCGATCTTTATTGTTTCATTTAATGATTTTGGCATCATATCTTTTAATTTGATTATTGATTCTTTCAATGGTGTATTGATCAATGATAATTGATCATTATTATTATTATTAGAATTTTTAGAATAAATTAATTCATCTGAAATAGCAGAATTCAGTAAATATTTACAATAATTCATGATAGATAACCAAGAATCAGAATAAATTGGATTATTAATTGTTGGTAAATTTATACCAGAATGATTCATAAATAATATGATACTTTTAGTTATTGTTAAATCATCTAATTCTGATTGAAATTGATTAGAAAGTGTTATATTATTAAAATTTTCATTTATAAATGATACTGAATGTAAAGATTTATTTGATAAATCTAATGGTTGACCTAAACTATATGTTTTATCTATGAATGATTCTAATTTATATGAAGAAATATCATTGACAAATTGATGATGATAATCATGTTCATTATTGTCTAATTTAATATCTTGAGTTATATTATCATGATTTGTTAAAGGAGTTGATATTTTCACTTGAACTTCCTCTTTACATTCAACATCATCAACTTTATTTAAAAGTATAGAATTGATAGATGAATCATAAATATTTTCATTGTTAATATTAATTTTTATTTCAGAATTATTTTTTGATTGATTTTTTAATTCTTCAGTGTCATTTTTGTGTAAAATATGATTATAGACGAAGTTTACTGATTTATTTGTATCATCTATACAACTTCTTAATGATTGAACATTGATATTATCATCTTGTATTGAATGTGATTCTGTAGAATATTTTGGAGGAATAATGATGATAGGATATTTCTCAGTTGATAATTCATTTTGATCATTATCAGATATTTGAGGTAAGGATTCATATTTTGTATCTTCAGAAATATTTTTAATATCATAATTGGAATAAATACTTGAAGAATCTCTTATACAATTTGGATCGTCAGAATTTTCTACTATTTTCTCGTTATCAGAATGTGATATGTGAATACAATTTGGAGATCGTGAGCAAATATTTTCATTTACGGTTTCTATTACATCTTTGCTGTTTAAATGATCAGAATTCTTCAATTGTATATCATTTAAGATCGTTTCAGAGTTTATATTACATTGTTCTGTTTGATTTAAAATAGCGGTGTGTGAATTACCATCTAGCTGCACTTTTTCAAGAGGAATATCATGACATGAATAAGAACTAGATGTAGAGACAGTTAACTTAAGTTGGCGTTGTTGTGCAAGTTCTCGACGTACTTTTATCTGATTCACAATGTAATCAAGGTGAGAATCAGGAAGTTCAGATAAAGTGTTGTCAATAGGTAATGTGGGATTTTCACCATCTTCTGTTGCTACAGATTCAACACAACACTCACTTTTTGTTGACATATTACCAGAAGATTCACATTCAATGTAAATACCACCCATATGTTTTAAAACATAATAATTACAATAATATCTGTCTTGTCCAAGAAATAGTCCAGACAATCTGGATGAACATTCATCAATTTCTCTTTGTTTTTGTTCTGTTTTTCGAGTTAGTGATTCAATCTTAGCCTCAAGTTCACTTATTTTACATGTACTATCTTCATCATCTGATAATGAGGTAGAAGATATTGCACAAGAATTACTAACTACGGGCATTGATGTGAGTTTTGGCAATGTAGTTAATGGCAAATTTTTATGATAAGCAGTTGGTTCCATATCGATTGCTTTTCTGTCATATTCTGTTATTGTATTATTGATTAAATTTCCTGTGATTGTCAGTTTTTGAGCAATCAATAAACGTAATCTAAAAGATAAAATGTTACCTCCATTAATAACTGTAACAAAGTTATCATTAATATAAATAATAAAAAATGTTACGAATTATAGAGGAAACACATAGGCTGTATTTGTCCTAGATTAATTCCAGTCGATGTCCATTAAAATCCAAGGAGTATTGAACAACTGTTTTGTTACAGCATAGAACTTTGCTGTAGCACTTATTCATGATCTCACCAACTATTAAACTCATAACTGATAGGTCTCGCTGAGAGAACTAAGTCATTACCACTAATGATAAAAATTAAACTTCAATTAATTCGCGGTACAGCACCACGACCACCCATTATCATCAATAATGAGATAGCTGCTATCTAATACAATCTGATTGTCACTATTACCACGAATGAGATTAATCCGTGACAAAAATAACCTATAAAATATAGTTAATTGTCGCGAAATCCTTTCAAGTAAGAAATAGAAGGTCAATTTACTTAAATGACAGAATGAGTCACATGGTGATTGTTCTAGAGCATACTGATAAATTATTGAATCCATGTATCTCTTAATCGAGTAAAAATTTGTATTAATGTTTGACTTCAAACAATCTTCCATTGTCTGAGGTAGATATCTATCTCTACCTGACATGGATTAGCTCGACTGGTCACGGCCTCTCACTAGAACTTCGAAAATTACCACATGGTAATTATCAGTATGGGGTTGTAGAGATTGTTGAGTTTTCATTTGAGATCATGAATCGATCAATGTTAGACTATTATTGAAAATCTGGAATCAAGTAAACTAGTATAATATCATATAATATCTTACCTTCGTATTTTTGATTCAATAATCCATTTTTCACGTTTCAGCAATGATTGTTGTTCAATTGTTCTGTCTATTTCAGTGGATATAAGACGACTTGAACAAATTAATTCATCACAAATGAAAGCTAATAAACTAGCTTGTTGTTCACCAGTAAGATCAATAAATTGAATTGGAGGATGAAGCCAATCGGACATATCATCTTCATAACCATTTCGACTAATAATAAATACTCGAAGTATGATACTAATCGTTTGTTCATTTAATTCTATTTCATTAAATTTCTGACCAAGTAATTGAGTAATCTATAAGCAACAATTATAGTGAATATTAGATTAAAATGTATTGCCTTATATACGAAATAAATAAATGATAGTGAGATTGTTAGTGTATAACACTGAAGAGTCCCATAACAAAATAAAATAGTTGTATAAACCTTCTTAATTTTCCATACCACCTTAAATGAGATTAATTTGTAATGGATATAATCTACAAATTATATTATGTTAAATTTAAGGTTACAAAAATAAATAAACATTTAGCAATTTTATTATTTATTAAAGATTACTCATCAATACATAACTCCACCTGTAGCTTTTCTGAGGTTACTGCCGATCTCAAGCCGGTTAAAAAAAGAATTTATCATGGGGTCAACATCCTCATTCCGTAGAAAACAACTTCGCTAAAAAATGTAAACGCTAACCATCAATGCATACTTGTGAATTTCATAAACAGAGAAAGCTTATACTTAACAATAAATCCTTCCACTTTTGAGTATTTTGATAGAATTTTGTTCTCTGAGCTGGATGTTTTAGTCGTGGAGCTTTCATCGTTCTTCTGAACGACATCATCAGTACAAACTTCAGATAGAAGTCTATCTGGTGTTTGTACTGATGATGTCGTCCAGAAGGACGATGAAAGCTCTACGACCAAAACTCCATTAGAATCATTCACTTGAGCTATAAATCTTCTGCACCGTCTCAACTTTTGAGTATTTCTTCAAGATCCCATTCAACTCTATAGTATTCGTGATATATGATAAACAATATTTATTACATAAAAATAGTATTTAGTCTTAATATCTAATTGACTTCATCAAAAGTTTATTTCTTATAGAACAATAACTTCTTGTTTTTTTTTATTTTTACGAAATTTTTCTCAATCTACATATGTGAATAGAAAACGATATTCATTCTGTCTACAATAAATAAACTCGATAGACAAGTAGAACTAACTTATAGTATCATATACACAGAAACAAATAAAACATAGTCAATATGAAGCTTGAAAATGTACTTTAGTTACCTATATAACCTTGGTTTATGTCTAAATTATATTGTCAACATCTTCCTTACATTGTTTATAAGATAGATGTTAATACTTCACACACAAAAAAAAGAAAGAGAAGATTATCTGATAAACGATCTTTTATTATAGAAAATATTACGATTGATTGGACAAGTAAGTGGCTATCAGGACTCAGTATCTAAGTGAATAATGCAATGGCGTTTGAAGTGAACGGTACTAGGTTTGAGTCCCAGAGTGAACATCAATTCTGAGATGCAGGTACATCCCGTTGACGAGTCCCAAATTGAACAAAACGTGCATTCTGGATTCCACTATTAGCCATTATCCATTTTTGATTATAGTACGAATGACTGTTTACCTTGAACGTCGGAATGTAGATATTTTTTTACTTATTACTATCTTCTATTTTAATACATTCATCATTTTCTAACTGAATAATATAAATATGCTTAATTGGAAATATATTAATGAAATCAATTAGAATTCAATGAAACTTAATGAAAAATGTAGTTTCTTTTACAAGATAGTGTCTATCTAATCAAAATGATCAAGATATTACGTTCATTAATCATTAAAGCAGACACTTAGTCAGGTATGTTATCTTTTAACTGAAATCAAACTGGATTAGATGATGAGTATTTAAAATTTGTACCTGAATAAGAGCACCAACTTTGAATCCATTAACTTAGCTTCACTGATCTTAATTCTTTACTTAAAGGAATTCTGTTCATTATAATCACTCTAAGTTAAAAAATGTTTTGTGAAATGTTAGTCAAAGATTTCTTTAAAAAAAAATGCTTGGTTTAGTAAGGGCTTATATTTTACCTTTGTTGGCATTCAGAACTGCAATCGATCAGTTCCTGTTAACGTAAGTACAATCTGGGTGGATCACCTTAATAAAGCCACTTTCATATAAATTTCTTTTTATTTAGTATGTGGTTAGCAATGAAATCCAGGACATTTGTTTCATACGATTTTAAATTTGTTTGTTGGATGTACGTACCTACATCCCAGTGTTAATGCTTATACTGAGACTCTAATTCAATACCTAACACTTCAGGCACCCAACGAGTTATCCA